CTTCTTCTTCTTCTTCTTCTTCTTCTTTCTCTTCCACTGTTTAACTCAGCGAGGCGCTTGGAAAGCGGGGAAAAAAAAGGGGGGGGGGTGTGTAAGGATCGTTGTGCGATTGTCCGTATGCATTGTACAAGTTGGTGTTCATTTCTATTAGATTGCTCCTGATGATGTCGCTACTGCTACTTGAATCAAATGACTGATCAGTTAAACGGTTTGGTGGGGGAAAAGGGGTAGGGGACAGTTGGGCACGATGTTGACCACACATACTCCACACTTCCGACTGGTCCATTAAAAAAAAGACTTCATGCTCATTGGGCATATAGGGTTAGACCTACATTTCATTGACCAATCAGCACTTGGTGATTGATGTGGTCAGCATCACACCGGCCACATTTGCTTCCCATGATAGCACCAGGTACCCATTCAAGGCAAGGGTCGACCTGGGAAGCCGAAGTAAATTTTGAAGAAAGCCCGGTTTCGTCAAAACCTGAGCCCACGACCTTCCGATCCACTGGCGAGCGTCTAGCTGCTACACCACGGCGACACACACAACTCCATTATCTTATAAAGGCTCGAACCCGAATCTCCCGAATGAGTTCCAGCAAATAGGTGGCCGTGTCAAATATTTTAATATGGCCACCTCCACTGGTCTATAGCAAACACCCAGTTTTTGCATCACTCACTCCATGATAACGTATGGGTTACCCGGTCCTATTGTGAACAGTATACACCCACTGCCCCCTAACAAGCGTGTCGTAACAGCCGGATAATTATGGAATGTTTCCCTTAAAATCGGACTGCATCTACCTGAGAGGCGAGAAACCAACAGTCTGCATACACATAGGGCAGACTAATTGTGGAATATTTCCCTTAAAATCGGACTGCATCTACCTGAGAGGCAAGAAACCAACAGTCTGCATACACATAGGGCAGACTAATTATGGAATGTTTCCATTAAAATCGGACTGCATCTACCTGAGAGGCAGAAAAAAAAACAACAGTCTGCATACACATAGGGCCAGATTTGTAAAACGGATGTGCACGCCAAACTCAGGTTCTGTAACAAGACTACAGTCCAGAATCGATGAACAATCAGAACGTGCCGCCAGAGTCTGCAGCCTGTGAGCGCGAAGGAGAAGTATAGACCCGATGTCTGTCTGTGCGTGCGTGCGTGCGTGCGTGCGTGCGTGCGTGCGTGCGTGCGTGCGTGTGTGCGTGCGTGCGTGCGTGCGTGCGTGCGTGCATGCATGCATGTATGTATGTATGTATGTATGTATGTATGTATGTATGTATGTATGTATGTTTGTATGTATGTATGTATGTATGTATGTATGTATGTATGTATGTATGTATGTATGTATGTATGTATGTATGTATGTATGTATGTATGTATGTATGTACGTACGTACGTACGTACGTACGTACGTACGTACGTACGTACGTACGTACGTACGTACGTACGTACGTATGTATGTATGTATGTATGTATGTATGTATGTATGTATGTATGTATGTATGTATGTATGTATGTATGTATGTATGTATGTATGTATGTATGTATGTATGTATGTATGTGTATACGTGGCAATCATACAACCAACAGGACATTGTTTCTTCATCAAAACCCCCGTAATCTCGAGAACTAACATGTCTTTCGTCGACCCGCTAGTCGCTGCGTACCATTTCACACATGCCTGCCGCCACTGTCACTTCAGCATCATCAACAATAGGGTCACCAGGAGACAAGGAATGCTCCCCGACCCCCGACCTCACAACTATGATTCAAACTGCCTTGAAACTGTTCTCAAGAGCCCATTAATCCGCTCAGGACTGCGAGGTTATGTGAGGACAGGCAAATGTCGGCTAGGGAATGACTTTGATCTGTTTATCTGGCTTGTGCAAGGATTTCGTTTTGATATGTTTGGTTTTAACATTGACACACGCTCACTTACATTTGTCTCCCCGGAGTTTGACTGCTCAAGGACGCCAAGCATTGCTGCCTTGTGGTTCCGGTGACCTTGATTTACGTCAGATTACACGTTTTCTTCTCTCAAGGTTGCAGGACGAAGTGTTGGGATAAGGTCTGTCTGGCCCGTGTGACAATGGGAGAGATTTATCGCGGGGAAAAAAGTAGTGGTGTCGAGCGGAAGATAACAGACAATTTCTTGCGATTTGATCATTGTTTTTGGTTTCATCGTACCTGTCAACGTATCCTAGTTATAAATATTATATGTATAATAAATAAACATGATAACTGGCATCATGAGAGCTAATAGACCGAAATGGATGGGGCATATTGAGAGAATGTCAGATGGCAGAGAAATGAAAACGGTATACACAAAGGAAATGAATGAACACGAGGCAGAACAAGAAGACGATGGAGAGATAATGTCCAGACAGACCTGCAAACACTTAGTGTCACCAACTGGAAAGAGAAGGACAACCAGAGAGATGAATGGAGACAGGTGATATCTGCAGCAATGAACCTCAAGGGCTCGGAATGCTGAAGAAGGAAAAAAAAAAGAAGAAGACGAAGATAAATAAACTGTATACACCTGCACTCATGGAAGTAACTAGAATATGAGTATAAAAAACGCAGGGCTCCATCAAGTCCAAATCCGACCCTGCAGCCGCCTCTACTCCTCACTGCATTTCCTGGTACAGATTTAAGCTGGGTCGCCTTGGTAGCCATAGGTCAATTATAGAAATCAACTCCGATGCAGAATCGAACCCAAGATCTTTGAGCAGGAAAGTAAGCATCTAGCCACTGCGCGTTGTTTAGCATATTCAGGAAGTACACTGGTATCTCCGTATACGCGCTGTATACAATCACCAGATATTGCTTTTATTGATCTCAATAAGGCACATGATTTGGTGAGTCATAAAAGTATGTTAAACACGCTTAAGAAAATTCGGAGTCCACCTACCCTACCGAGCATTATTGAATCGCTCCATACAGGTATGAGAGGTACGGGAGTCGCCGTGACGTGGGGACTAGACGCTGGCGTGTTGATCGGAAAGTCGTTGGTACGCTCCCTGGAGAAGCCGGACTTTTTTGTTGTTGAAAAAATGACCTTGCTCCCAGGTCGACCCAGCCTTGAGTGGGTACCGGGTGCTGTCCCGGGAATTAAAGGCGGCTGGTGTGATGTTGATCACATCACCCATCTTGTGCCGATTGGTCTATAAAAATATAAGTCTAGCCCTATATGCCCAAAGGCGTGAAAAAGGGACCTTTACTTATGACAGGAACAATCAGCTTTGACGGTATAACACGTGAGGAGTTTGTAATCAACAATCGAGCCACGCAGGGATGTCAACTTACTCTTACCTCTCACTTTTCTTAAATATGCCTTTCGAGATCAGGACGCTGGTATATTCATCTTTTTTGGATATAAAGGCAGCCTCTACAATGCTGGCTGAAGGCCAAAACTAGGATAATGAAGGTACTTATTAGAGAGCTACTGTTCGCAAATCATGCAGAAGTTACAACTTACCCAGACGAGGAGTTGCAATGTGTAATGTCTTCATTTGCTAATGCATGCTATCTTCATATAACAATATGCATAATTTAATATCAAGGAAAAAAAAAACTAAAGAATGGATGGTAAATGCATGCGCAACGTACACACGCCCACTCACATATTCACTCACTCACATACTTACATACATACATACATACAAATAAACATACATACATAATACACATACATACATACAATAGATACATACATTACATACATACATACATACAGACATACAGACAGACAGACAGACAGACAGACAGACAGACAGACAGACAGACAGACAGACAGACAGACAGACAGACAGACAGACACGCACACATGCACATCCATCCATCCATCCATCCATCCATCCATCCAGACAGACAGACAGACAGACACACACGCGCACACACATCCATCCATCCATCCATACTTCCATCCATCCATCCAGACAGACAGACAGACAGACAGACAGACAGACAGACAGACATACGCACACACGCACACACATCCATCCATCCATCCATCCAGACAGACAGAAAGACACACACATCCATCCATCCATCCATCCAGACAGACACACACACACACACACCCATCCATCCATCTAGCCAGCCAGCCAGCCAGCCAGACAGACAGACAGACAGACAGACAGACAGACAGACAGACAGACAGACAGACAGACAGACAGACAGACAGACAGACAGACAGACAGACAGACAGACAGACAGACAGACAGACAGACAGACATACATACATACATACATACATACATACATACATACATACATACATACATACATACATAAACACTCTCACACAAACAGACATGGACGCATAGCTGCCTCTCAGAGTGTGCAACCAAGATAACAGACGAAAAAAGAGCCACTGTAGCTATACCTCACTGCGGAGACGGTACCTAATCGATTGATTGCTCTATCTCAGTCCCGTCTCAGGTTTCCCCTGCAATTGACAAAGGGAGAGTATTCTTAAATTGAAACTCGCTTAAATGGCCGCGGTAGTTTTCGGATTTGGAAATGGGATCAGTTTGCTTTTTGTTTACAATTTTTTTAAAAATAGTTTTTCTGCATAATTATATGACCGAATCTAGATAAGATAAGAAGTGCGTATCCATGTTTGCGGTCACGACTGTTATTTTACAGCGAGTTCTAGATGAGATCATTGATACGGACTATTTAAATATTATTGCAGAGGGCACGACACATCTTTGTGCCCACGGTTGAGTGAGTAACTGAGTGAACTGTCCTCACTCAGTTGTTACACAACTCAGTTGTTGTTATATAACCTGTCTTGACGTAAGGACACGACACATCTTTGTGCCCACGGTCCAGTGAGTAACTGAGTGAACTGTCCTCACTCAGTTGTTACATAACTCAGTTATATAACTTGTCTTATCTTAACTTACTTAAACCTAATCGGCCACACTTAAAACTGTGTTCAGTCCAGCTTTTGCACTTGCAAGATTTCCGACTGTCAACGATGGCTTCTGTACTTTGGAGGAAATATCTGCACTATCTGCAAAAGTTTCCGTTGCGGACAATGGCAGGCACAACAGGTAGGGACAACATTATTCAATTTGATATTTGTTCTTTTAGTTTAGTGGTTAAATGTGAAGTCTTGCGATATGCCAGATTTAGAGTCCATTTTAGGCTAAGTTAAAGTCAGGAGGATCGACTACATCGCGTTTGCACCAGGTTATCACATATAGCCTGGTCTCTTTACAGAGCTGCTAGCTTCACACAAAAATGTACACTATTACTATAGCATAGCTTCCGCGACGATCCTCAGGGACGCCGTAAAAACTGCATATGTGAACTGAACAATGCCCCCTTGAAATGAACCTACGACCTTCAGAGC